CCAGGGCTGCATCAGGGTAGGTTCATGTGGCTTCTCCTTAGGGATGTCTCGCAGGGAGTCAGCCTTGTCAATAGAGTCTCCAAGGGAGTGAGCCAAGAGAAAGAGAGTGTGTGTTATCTGCCTCCAAGGAGAAAATATAGGAGTTTCCAGAATTCTCAGGAGGCAATGCCCACACAGAGACCTCGTTGGCTATACAATGATCAACAGGCTAGACTCCATCCCTTCACTCTTAATCCTCAAATTGACACCAGATTATGAAGCTACCACAATTATCGACAGATTTTTGCTTGCAGATAAAATGACAAGACATGTCTATCTTAAGTTTGGCTTACATAAGCACGTCTTCCAGATTCCCAGGACAGTTTGAACAAATAAAATATGTGAGATTGCAAATGCAAAACAATGCTCATGGCAGCAACTTAAAAGAAAAGCTTGGGTAAAGGAAGACATTGGTCAGTGTAAGACATGAAAAATAATAACAATTTATAAATGATCAAGGGTGAGGGTGGGGAGAGGGAGGGGGAAAATGAGGAGCTGATACCAAGGGCTCAAGTACAAAGAAAATGTTTTGAAAATGATGATGGCAACAAATGTGCTTGACGCAATGGGTGAATGGATGGGCTGTGATAAGAACTGCAGGAACCCCCATGAAATGATTTAAAAATAAAAAAGCTTCACTCATTCATATATTGAAAAATATCTAAAGACAACCCAGGAGTAATCTCTTTGTCAAACTGTGATGAGAGTAGCCTAAATGAATAAATATGGGGACTGCTATCAAAATTACAATGTAGTACTTTAAAATGTGTCCTTCAAGGGAACTGTTTTCTTTTATTTCAGATTCTTGAGGAAACTGAAATAGTTTTCAAGTTTTACTCAAGAGAGAAATGACAAGACTCTTTTGAAAAATTAAATTTGTAAGCATCAGATGGTCCTGGTCCCAACACCAGGGCTTGTCTCAGCTCATTAACATATTTCTCTTCTTGCACTGCCATATCGTCCACTTCTTGGGAAATCTCTGATGCAGAAACTGCCCCAGTCCATACTGACTGACCATCATCAGTCAGTGTAGCAACAAAACCAGACCCAAGTGTTTTCTCCCAAGATACTTGTAGAAAATGAATTATATTGGGGTCAGAAGCAAGAGAGATTCTGTGTACTTTTTTCTCCATTCTCTGGTCACCTCTTAACGACTCCACTTCCGGTCTGCTCCAAAATGCTCGCTTCCACCGCTTCTTTCTTTACCTGGCCTCTCTTTCTTTTTCTTTTCTTTTTTCTGGTTGTTGATTTCTCATTTTTTCATGCTTTAGTCATTGGAATGGCCCGCTTCTCTTCCCTGAGCTTACATTTACTCCCTTGGTGATCTTACATAGTCTTATGGCTTTAAAAGCCATCCATAAATCACTAATTTATATCTCTAACCTAGACCTTTCTTGTCAGTTTATTTTATTATTTTTAATCGTTTTATTGGGGGCTCATACAGCTCTTAACACAATCCATCCATCCATTGGGCCAAGCACATTTGACATATGTTGCCATCATCATTCTCAGAACATTTTCTACTTGAGCCCTTAATTTCAGCCCCTTCCCACCCCCCACACCCCCATCTCCTCCCCTCATGAACTCTTGATAATTTTTTTTCATGTCTTTTTGTGTGGGGGAGAGGGACAGCTCTCCTTTTTGCTCTGGGTGAGGGCTGCCCAGGAGCTCCTGGTGGCGCTGGCTCTGCGGATGGCGGCCAGGCGTCTTGCGGATCGTGTGCCCGATGCTGCAGAGCGTGGCCCGGGCGTTCTTGTTAAGGGTGGGCCGCACGGAAGAGGTGGCCGCCTTCCGATGGCCTGACCTCCACTTCAGAACTACCACGACCCCTTTGCGGTCGGCAGCGGGCCCGATGCCCACGGTCTTTCGGTGAATCAGCCAGCTGTAGTGGAAGGAACTCCAGGCTTTCGGGTTCCTGGGCTCGGTGCTGTCCGGCTGCTTGTTCCTCTTGGTCAGGACACTGGAGCAGGGGCATAGATGTGGCAGCGGCCGGAGATAGGAAGAGCTTTTTTTTCATGTCTTACACCAACCGATGTCTCCCTTCACCCTCGTTTCTGTTGTCCGTCCCCCTGGGAGGGGGTTATATGTAGATCATTGTAGATCTAGTCCCCCTTTCTCCCCTTACCTTCCCCTCCCACCCTCCCGGTATCGCTATTCTCATGATTGGTTCTGAGGAGTTTATCTCTCCTGGATTCCCTGTGTTTCCAGCTCTTATCTGTAGCAGTAAACGTGCTCTGGTCTAGCCGGGTTTGTAAGGTAGAATTGAGGTCATGATAGTGGAGGGAGAGGAAGCATTAAAGAACTAGAGGAAAGTTGTATGTTTTTTTGGTGCTATACTGCACCCTGACCCTTCAGTGACCCTTCAGTAAAGGGATGTCAGAGTGTCTACAGATGGGCTTTGGGTCTCCACTCTGCACCCCCACCTCATTCACATTGATATGATTTTTTGTTCTGGGTCTTTGATGCCTGATTCATGGTCCCATTAACATCTCATGATCACACAGGCTGGTGTGCTTCTTCCATGTAGACTTTGTTGCTTTTCAGCTAGATGACTGATATTGTTTGTCTTCAAGCCTTTAAGACTCCAGAGGTCATATTTTTTGATAGCTGGGCACCATCAGCTTTCTTCACCACATTTGCTTATGCACCCATTTTGTCTTCAGCGATTGTGGAAAGGCGACCATCACAGAACGCCGGGTTATTAGAATAAAGTGTTCTTGCACTGAGGGAGTACTTGAGTAGAGGCCCAGTGTCTGTCTGCTACCTTAATACTTAATATATAAATATATGTACATAAACCTATTTCCTTATCATTATATATAAATATATTTACATATGTGCATACCTGTATTTAGACGTCTATAAATGTCCTTTGCCTCCTAGTATTTTCCACTATTTCCTTTTACTTTCCTCTTGTCCCACTGTCATATTTGGCCTTCATTCAGGTTTCAGTAATTCCTCTTGGCTACATTGCCCTTGATCTAGCCCCACCAGGCATCCTATACCCTCCTTGCTATCAATTTTAGATCACTTGTTGTTCCCTTGTCCCTGGGTTGGTTGATAAACCCCTTCCTTTCCCTCTCTCCCAAATCCCTGGCCCCCAGCCATCAGTCCATTGTTTTCGCCTCCAGATTGTTTATCCCACCTGTCTTATCTAGATAGATGTGCAGAGACAATAATAAGCACAAAAACAAGACAAGGCAACAAAAGAAAACAAAACACAAAACCAACAACAGAAAGAATGAAAGAAAGAAAGAAAAGCATATATAATAAATAGTTCCTGGTCTGTTGGTTGAGCTTTAGGAGTGTTTTCCCTCAAGTCTGATGGGGTGCCACACCCTGACCCCAAAGTCTATTTTTGGTATTCCCCAGGGACTTCATTGCTATGCTCCCCTTGTTGCACGCTTTTCAGTTTATTTTGCATATCCAATTTCTTATAGAAGGTATCCTCCTGGAGAATTGATGAGCTTCTCAAATTTAATATATCTCAAAAGAAGCTCCTGACCTGAAGAACTAGACGGTGCCCAACGACCATGACCCTGCTGCTCTAGAAAGGGTTAGAAGATCTTGGATGAAGTGGAGGAAAAATGTGCAACAAAACCCCAAATTACAAAAAGACTGGGCTTACTGGTGGAATAGAGACTTAGAGCACCCCAAGAACCATGGCCTAGTGCCCCTTCAGGACTGGAACTGAACTCATGCCCCTGTGACAATAAAGGGGAACATCCACCCTGGGATGAGGTACAGAGGGGAAGGAAAGGAGGCGGAACACACAGGAAACCCAGGAGGCAAGGGGATGAGCAGCGGTCCCTTGGTCAGAGCTTAAAAATATACCCAGCATCCAACCAGTTTTTACCATGTCTACTGCTACCATGCTCATTCTTGCCTGGTTTTCTGACCTTTATAAATGTCCTTGGCCTCCTAATTGTTTTTATGGTGATTGTTGTTTATTGTGCATTGGGTGAAGGTTTGAAGGGCAGATCAGTTTCCCACTCAACATTTCATACGCATTTTACGTCATCCATTGATTGCAATCCCCCAAATGTAGCACCACTTATCCTACTTCTTCCTTATGTTTCTTGTTCCTCCTTTTTCCCCAGCCTTTTCAACTTTGTCCTGTCCCTAGGTATATGTTGCCATTTGATCTTCTAAGATGTCTTACCTCCCTAGTGTTACTGTTCCCCTGATAGTTCTGTCTGTTGTCTGGCCGAGTCTGTTTCCAGCCCTAATGGGTGACCAGGGGTCACAGTCTTGGAGGTTCCACCAGTCTCCAAGCAACCAACAAGCCTGGTCTTTTTATGAATTTGAGTTCTGCTCCACATGTTCTCCCACTCCATCCAGGACCTTCTGATGTGAGTCCTTTCAGAGCTGTTGGCAGTCATAGCTGGGCACCATCTAGTTCTGGTCTCAAGGTGTTGGAGAATGAGCTTCTAACTGTTTTCTGCTCCCACGCTCATTCTATTTTTGTGAAAACTGAAGGCCTCCATGACATCGCAACTCACTTGAAGCAAAAGTCTAACTCCTGAAACCCAAACCAGACACACTGTCATTGAGTTGATTCCAGCTCAGAGCAACCCAATAGCGACACGGCCCTAAACCATCTGCTTCTACTGCTGGTTACTGATCTATCTCCAGTCATCTACCCATCCATCTTTTCTCCTTCTCCTCTCCACCCCACTCCAGTTACACGGACCTTTTGCTAGTCATTAAGCAGACTAAGCACACACACTCACTCCGGAACGCTTGAAAGCTCATCCATCAAACATCTTCCTTCACATCCTTCCTCAAATGCCTCCTTCTAGAAAGGCTTCTCTTAGTTATCCTCTGAAAAACTGGATTTTCTCCATTCCCACTCCAGCACTCACTCTCTCCCTTATCTGATTTATTTTTTCTCTAGCACTTAAGGAGCCCTGGTGATGTAGTGGTTATGCTTTGGGCTGCGATTCACATCGTCAGCAGTTTGAAACCACCAGCATCTTCGTGGAAGATTTCTACTCACGTTAAACTGTTACTCTGTAAACAGTTACAGTCTTGGAGACCCACGGGGGGTGCTGTGAGTCAGCATTGACTCGATGGCAGTGAGTTTGGTTTTGGTTTATCACTATTTAACATATTAATAACAAGTCATTCATTTCCTTGTCTGCCTACTATAATAGTGAACGCCGTCTGGGCAGGGATTTTGTTTGCTTTATCCTAGCACAGATCAATATTGGTAAATAAATTTTGATGTTTTTCTTAGTCTCTCTGATCTCAAGACTTGCTTCTTCAAAGGCTAAGAAAGTGCACCTAGTAATAGGTTTTAAGGATATGGTAGGTGGGTTTAAGGGAAGGGCACCTTCAAACTTCCATGAATATCTTTTTTTTTTCCAGCTGAACACCAAAACATCCCCTACAACAAACCAGGCACGTGGCTCGGAGGAAAAGGGTGAGTAGGTCTGAGCTCGGCAGTCAATTGGCCAGTTGCATAAAGGGGCATGGAACACATTGGACTGTAAGTCCGAAGTTTCTAAGGCCATGTGTTATAGGAAAAGGAATAGGAAGAAGAGAAACAAAGCTATGTTAGAGTTACTATGTCTATAGGCTATTCTCCATTTTTTCCTAAGAAGTAAGCCTATCCATATTTACTCTTTGATTTTAGAAACTGAGTCTGAGGTGGTTGCAGGAGGCAAACCTAATGGTAAGAAGAAACTGCTCAGGTTATCTCAGCTACTTTCTCCATCAAAACTTGAGGACAGCTGTGGAAAGTGACTGAGCTCTAGAGTGCATTGTACGGTAGGATGTAGAAATAAGTGGTAATCGAAGAATTTTTCAACTTGATCCAAGATAGCAAACCTCCCCTAAGGAGCTTAGCTAATTCCCATTCAATTTACCTGGCTTTTAGGAGAATTATCAGGCATTCTTAATCCTAACGAAGATGAGGAACCCCACTGAGTTCAACAGAAAGTAGACCTTAACCTCTGTGTTAGGGGCAGAAGAATGGGGTCAGGAAGGTTAGATTCATTCATTAATGAGTCTCCCAACTATCTGCAGGGAAAGCTGATAATGCCAAGAAGGCGGAGGAAGAAGAGGAGATTGACATTGATCTGACAGCACCGGAAACAGAGAAGGCGGCTCTTGCCATTCAGGGCAAGTTTCGGCGATTCCAGCAAAAGAAAAAGGATCCCAGCTCCTGAATGACCAACCTCGCCCTTCACCCTGCTCCCATCTCCCGCCTTCTCCACAGCCCTAACTCCTATGTATTTTGTCCCTTTGTCCCTCTGGCCTCCGTTGAGGCAAGTCCAGTTTTCTCTGGTCCCTTCAAGCCATCACAGCAGTAGAGGCACAAGGAACATGAGAAAGATAAAGACTTGAGTTGGCATCCACTTGGCTAAGGCTGGACCACTTTCTCCTGGGCATAGTGCACTTTGATCATTACCATTGTCTGCCTTTTGGGGTTGAGGAGGACACTTTGAGATGGAGGGAAGGGCCCCAGGCAATATGGGGAGGGAGAAAGCCCTCAGGGTAGGGGGCCAGAGAGTGGGGCATATGCACTGTTCTGCCAATTGCAACATTGCACTTCAGATAACACTTCTTCCCACCACCACCTCCAACTCCTCTCCTAAGAGCTAATCCACAATGGGGACTTGAGTCTCCCTTTCCCCCAGGCAGACCTAAATCAAGCAGTTTACCACATTAGTGCATGTTGAGTAGCTTAGCTCCAAGGCAGGGGGACTGGGCCTGATAGAGGCAAGGAAAAGTTTCCTTTATCCTCTAGTCTAGAACCTAAGGGGCAGAGAGGGTGAAGATGCTCAAGGGGCCACAGACAAGGAAGTGAGAAGGTTTAGAGAGGGAAAGGAAAGGAAAGGAAAGGGAGATCTCGGGAGGCACAAGTTCCTGCAGGTAAAAGTGTATGACATGAAGGCTTCTTGGGGTATATGCACTGTTCCACCAGTGGCTTCCTCATCCCTACTTGTACCTCCCAAGTCTAGTCATCCCCAGAGGCCACACAGATTAAGTGACCCCTGTAATTCCCACCTGATCCGCTGTGGAGTCAGGACAGAAATGGAATAGTCACTCATCTGTGACTTTAGCATGTTTAATAATTATAACAATAAAAAAACCCTCTAATGGGTCCATTTAACTTCTGTTTTTCTGTTTATATTTAATGTACACCTGAGCTGGCCTTAGAAACTGTGTAGAACAACTCATGGATCTCACGTGGCTCAGAAAACAGGCTGCCTGCGGAATTTCAGACTGAAGCCGACCTCTGCCTCCCTTCCCTTGACCTTGCTCTCACCTTGATTCACCGCCCACTTTGTCTTCATCTGCTACTGTCACCACCCCCATGTGCACCTGCAAGGATGCTCTTCTCCCCTTTCCCTCCCAGCTCAGAACACACTTGGTGCATATATAGCCCTCTGTAAACAGACCCAGTGTTCCTGGCTCCCTATCCCTAAATGATCTATCCTAAACAACCCTCCTCTTATTCCCATTCTACACCTGCCTCCTTTGCCCTCCTCTTACTAACTATGAGCAAAGTTAGAGGAAGACTCCAGGTTAGTAGAGACAACCACTGTTGTGGGGGGAAAGGCCAACCCCCCACAACTAATCATGGGGTTGATAGGCACAATTGTTGGTTGAGATATATAAAGATTACAATAAAGTCATAGCATGAGAGATCAAGGAGAGATTGAAGTAATAAAGTCAGACACATTTCATGATAGCATGCTCACCTCAACCCCGCTTGGTGGTTCTCATGAAGATGGGAGGCTGGAGGGCAGGAGAGAGGGGGAGGGGAAGGAGGACAAGGGGAAAGGGAACAGGGGAGCGGGGACTAGAGAGGAGAGGGAGCCGATGAGAGGCCAAGGGGGATCTTTATTGCTAACCAAGGCTTATACATCTTTGGGGGTGCATGCAAGCCCCCTAATTACAAGTAAAGACATATGTTACAGGAAGGGGTACTATAGGTAATAGAGCAATGAGAGGGGGACAATCTAGGAGTATCCATGCAATAGGAAGAGGAGGGATTGGGGGTACACATGTGACAAGATGGGCAGATCCTAGATTCAGGATGGCAGCCTAACTTTGGATGTCACTGAGCAAGTTTGATCTGTTCTCTGGCTCACTCTAGAAACCATTATCAGTAGGGTATAAACCCACCCTGCAGGGACCAAAGTGATGGCCACAAGCCTTTAGGGAGAAGTAGCTCATTGTCCTTAACAGCATGGAGTGGGCCCTACTTGTGGTGGGACCAGACAGTAGTCTGGCAACTGACTGCCTTCAGGGAGGTAACTTGACAATCATTTACCATTAGCTGCAAGCAGTGTCTAGAACCTAACATATATTTAGGGGAGAGGACTTGGGAGAAATCTTTCTGTTTACCCCCACCCTCGCACACCGTCACTCAGAACATTTAAAATCATGAAATACAGCTTTCAAATGAGCCAGCAGAGCTGAGAAATGACCTCTACGTTACGTGTTGAAACCAGAAGCCAAATGCTTGCTAGAACGGGGAATGCTCCCTCTCCCTCCCTCCTTAGTGTTTACCCTTTCTTTCTTGATACAAGATTACAGAAGTTAAACCACGTAGCACCTATGAGTAGGAAACACATGGCAGTATTTTATATCCCAAGGCTTATCCCTGCATAGCCAGTGCAGGACTACAGGATCTTAGACTTGAATGATGATGGTTCATGGGCTGGCCTGTGGTAAAAGATTTCAAACAGGAAAATGAATATTGACTGGTCAGCTTGGCATCTTTGCTCCTAGGACCCTTAGCCTTCCCTAGACCTTGCTCCAACGTAGAGTCAGCTTTTCCTGCTTCCATCTCTTACTCTGGCACCTAACTCCTGTCCTAGTGGCCTTTTGTGGCAGCTGCCCTCCCTCACCTCTTCACCCTTCTCTCTGCTCCCCTAGCCCTCGCTGAGTTTCCCCTTTCTGGAGTTGTTCTCAGTGGGCGTGGCTCCTGTCGGTTGCTCTATGGACGCCCTCGCCCTGGCCCTCACAGGAATCGCTATGCATCTGCCTGCCCTTCATCATTTTCTCTTTGAATGTAGCCCTTCTGCTCCCGGTGTCTCTGAACATTGAGGACTGTGAGACAGGAAGTTGGCTGTTTATATTTAGATGGAGATCCTGGGAGCCTTTTTTCTGGTTGTTTGGGTGGTGGCTTTATCCCAAGATCTACGACTTCAGAGGAGGCTGAACTCAACCTGTTCATGCCTGCAGGAAAGCTTCCTCATTCCCCGCCCCCATGCTTGCTTCCCTCCGCAGCCGTCCAGCTGGGATGGAGTCGGCACCATCTTCTCACCCACCCTCGGGGCTTCTACACTGATAGTAGTCCTCATACTCTCTAACCATTTCGATTTTCAAGAATGAAGCGAAGGAAGCGCTCCCTATTAGATCATGTCAGAGTACCCTTACTTGCATAGAAACCGACACCAAATTCACTGCCACCGAGTCACTGACTCACAGCGAGCCCCTGTGGGTTTCCCAGACCCTAACTGTTTACACAGGAGTAGAAAGCCCAGTCTTTCTCCCAAGGAGCTGCTGGTGGTTTCAAACTGCCGACGCGTGGATCAAAGCCCGTCGGAACCACTTCACCGCCAGGGCTCCTTTACCTGCCTATAGCGCTCTGTCAACTCAGGTTTCCTCAGAGTTAGCTTCCTTAGGAATCCTTGTCCCCCAAGATGAGGGACTCCCCAGCCTTGTTCTACCCGAGGACATGAGTGAGGATGATATTATTAATAACCAAGATTTGTAAAGTTGTGATTATGTGCCAGAATCTGTTAAGTACTTTCGCACATATGAACTTATTTCATTCTTATAACTCCGTGATACTATGATTATTGTCATTTTACAAACGAGGAAACTGGACCACCAAAATATTAAATGACCTGTGCTGAGCTCAGTGAATATTGAATTAGGACAAGAACTCAGGCAGTTTGGCTCCCAAATCTGTGCTCTGTATACTCTCTTCATAAGGAACCAGGTGAATGAAGGAGGGCCGGTTTGGTTGTCAAGGATGCTGCCCACCTCAGTTAAGGGCAAGCAGAACTTCCCTTAGCTGACTTCAGGCATACCAACCTGATCTCTGGACTCCTGGCTCTCACCCTTGCAAGGACGGACTTACACCCTGGCTTTACATGACTGCTCTGCCTCTCACCACTCCCAGAATTCTGTCTGTGCTTTGAGCACCTCTTCCAGCTACCTGGGACATCCAAAGAATTTGTGGCCCGGCAAGAAAAATGGAAAGGTCAATAGATTCACATTTATGGAACAAAATTAAACAGGCATAAACATCCTGAAATAAAGCCAAACTCTTCTCTAATTTTATTGCTAGAACCGTCGGCTCAATTAACTATCCCTCTAAGCCCGTTATCAATGGGGAATGGAAGTCTATAGGGTTTTTGGTTTGCTTGGGTGTCACAGGTAGGGGTGGGGTGGGCGTGGGGGGAATGAGTGTTCCTAGTATTTGCGGTGTAGAGGCCCGAGATGGTAAGCATTTCAGAACGATCAGATACCGTGGTTGTTAGTTGTCATGGAGTCCATTCTGATTCCCATGCGCAGTAAAACTGCTCCCATCGGATTTCTAAGGCTGTGCCCTTGTGGAGGCAGATCACCAGAACTGTCTTCCACGGCAGCTCTGGGTGAGTTCCAATCACCAAACTTGCAGCTGGTTGTCCAGCACTTAACCATTTGTGTTACCCAGGGACCTGCAGTGACCAGAATAAACCCACTGCCGGTGTGTCAATGCAGACTCCTAACGTCCCAAGAGGAATGAGCAGGACGACTCTATAGGCTTCCAAGAGAGCACAGTTTTAGGTAGCAGACTGCCCCACCTTCCTCCCACCCGTGGAGTGGCTGGTGAGTTTGAACCACCAACCTTTTGATTAGCAGCTGAATGCTTAACCACTGCACCACCAGGGTTCCTTAATAACCAGGAAAAACCCAATCAAAACCAAACTCACTGCCATATATATATGGTTGATTCAGACTCATAGCAACCCTGTGTAGGATTCTAAGACTTTAAATCTTTCAGGGAGCAGACAGCCTCATCTTTCTCCTGTGGAATGGCTGGTGGGTTTAAACGATCTCACCTTTTAGTTGTGTGGTTAGTAGTCCAATGCTTACCTGCGAGTACCACCAGGGCTCTTGTAAGAATCACAATAGTGAGGGGAAAAAAGAAAAGCATTGTCCCACATCCCCAATGACTGCAGAAAGGGACTACAGGCTAGACGCCTGAGGCTAGGCTGGGAGCCCCACTTAATGCAGGACAAACGGGTGGTATCTGAGTTGTGAAGCAGACACGAGAAGTATAACGGCTTGGACTACTGGACAGTGACTTGAGCCCTGCTCCTTGAGTGTGTGTTCCATCAACAGAACACCAAAAGAAAGTAGACGAGGGCTGAGAGCCCGATTGTGCTTTACATCTATTCTTTATTTCCTCTTCCTAGTGGATCGTATTCACCACTTGCCTGGCAGTTTGTCATACAGTGGTGGCTTATGTGTGTTGTGATTCTGGAGGCTATGGCACTGGTATTTCAAATAGCAGCAGGGTCACCCAAAATGAATAGATGTCAGCAGAGCTTCCAGACTAAGAGCAGCCTACAAAGAAGGCATAGGATGTCTACTTCAGAGGGATTCGCCACTGAAAAGCTTATGGATAGCATCAGAACATTTTTCAATATCAAAGACCTAAAGAGTAGAAGCAGAATATTGTCAGCGACAGTGCCAGAGGATGAGTCTCTGGGCAGAAGACACTCAGCATGTGACTGAGCAAGAGCCGCCTTCTCAAAGTAGACCCCAACTATAAGGACATGAATGGAATAAAGCCCTGGAGGCTTTTATTTACTGATAAGGCACGACTCAAAATGAGAACTGTAAAACCCTAGCCCTCTCTGAGTTTCCCCTCAAAATGAGAACTGTAAAACCCTAGCCCTCTCTGAGTTTCCCCTCTTTATATCAGAATTTGGAATGTACGAAGTATGAATCTAGGAAAATTGTAAGTCATAAAAAATGAAATGGAACACATAAAGATTGATATCCTAGGCATGGGTGAGCTGAAATGGACTGGTATTGGCCATTTTGATTCAGAAAAGTACAGTACATGATTGACTGTGCTGGGAATGACCCAATGAAGAG